TATAAGTTCTGATGTACTATAAATCTCATTAATGCTTTGTAATATATGTATAATAAAAATAAGGGGTTTATAAAAATAATTATTTCCGCGAACTATTAGAACAGTCTGCTTCTATCTGTGGCTACAAAGAGGGATGAGTTTACTGTATATTTCTGTCTGCGCAGACTACGCATGGGCCCTCTTGTTTTTATTTAAATCACATCATTTAATGCACTGAATACATAGGTATGTATATGGCGACACCTGAGTGGAAGAGCGATCTATCTCTGCAGTCTGTTCCAAGACGCCCTACTTCAGAGTTTGATTGAAGAACGCCATATCTCAGAAATCATTCCAAAAACGCCCTATCTAAGCTGAAAATACATTGAAAATGTGCTAGGGCATTCTTCAATCAAATTTTGAGAAAGGGCGTTCTTCATTCAAATTGTGAAGTGAGGCGTTTTATGAGATAGGCCACTTTCCAACTGGGTGCCGAGATAGGTCGGTCTTCCACTCAGGTACATATCGATTTGTTTTGTAACAGAGAGCACTGAAGTACTTGGTATTAAAATTTTCCTGTACAATTTCCATAAATATAGTACCTGAAAACATTTTTTGTCCTTAGTGAAGAACAAACTACGATATTTTCTGAAGACAGGGGTGAACTTATGTATGTACTTTTAAATTACTCGTACGTTCAGTTACCCAGCCACCTAAAAGTGCTTGTAATTAAAATAATTATAGGATAAAATATCAAGTACATATGTACATTTAATTACTAGTACTTTGAACTTATTTTTTTGTAAGGAATTTGTGCTATTACACGTAATCAGTTTTTAAAGCTTTATTGTAAACTGAATTATTAATTAATTTTTTAAATCTGTTAGAATGTCAGATTATTTTTGATCTCATGTACAAATAAATGGGAATAATATTTAGAATTTTTAGCAGTTTAAGTTTAGAGGAATATTTACAGAATTTATATTTACAAGAGTATTTACAGAAATCTTTGAATAAATTTATTAAATGCATTTTGTTACAAAAGTCGTACGATGTTATTTCTTTTCCACTTCCATGTGTGTCAGAATTTTCTGAAGCTTGAATAGTGCCAAAATCCTCAGCTTCAGATAAAAGTTCATTCAAAAAATCCGATTGTTTTAAACAGAAGTTGTGTAATATGCAGCACGAACGGGATAAAGTCTTGCCGTCTAGTGTTGAGTTTTTGTAGTCGACGAAATCGCACTTTAAGTAAACCAAATGCTCTCTCAATTACTACTCTTATAGAGGAATGTGTGTTGTTGTACTTCTTTTGGTTCGCACTTAAATTTCCACAATCTCTGAACGGTATTAGCAGGTAAGACTTCAGTCCATATGCTTGATCGCCAAGCAAATGCTGGTCCAGAGGTATATAAATAGTTCCTAGTAAAAGTTTACGAAATATATTTATTTTCAAGTAAATAAGCAAGATTTATGATGTGTCTTAAATACCGTCAATAATCTTCTTATACACTTTTGACCTGCGGAAAAGGCATGAATCGTGTATAGATCCAGCTTCACCGGCATAGCAGTCTATAAATTCCAATTTTTCATTACAAATGCCTGGTAGTAGCACCGAATGGTATTTTTTCCGGTTAATATAAGAATTCGGATAGCGCGTAGGCTTCGCAATAGGAATGTGGCTGCCATCTACACATCCGATAACGCCTAAAAAGAGTCTATAATGAAAACAAAAATAGGAACAGACCACGCTTTATTACCTGGGAACCTTGGTTTTTCCTCGAAAAAAGAGGCAGTGCGTTCTGCTTCATTTGGTGTCGGCCAAGCTATTATATTATGAGCTCGGTTTATTCTAAGCAAATATTTGCAAATAAAGAATACAGCCTTCCAAGTAGTTTTATGAGATACATCAAATCGATCAGCTATTGATCTGAAAATCACTTTTTATTAATTATTTATGTAAATAATTTTAATTTCATTGGTTTACCAACCTAAAGCATTCAGTGTAGGCCAAGTACCACAATGTTGTTAATATTTGCTTTTCCAGCAAAATCATCGGCTGCCCAGGATGAACGTTCAGATAAGAGGCGTGCTCGTTGTTTAAAAGCAGGTTTAATTCTTCAAAACTCTTTTTTTTTAAGCGAAAATGTTGAAAAAACTGCAAGTCGTCAAAGCGAGGAATGGTCTCCTGGTTTGTGTACTTTTCGTCCCATGGTAACTTCCACATCACTGTCACTTTCGCTATCAAAAAACAAATCAAAAGCAATTTTATTTGCCAAAATATTACAAATGTGTAAGCAGTTCGCCATTCTTTTACATTTAACTACTTATTTAAACTTGAACAGCTGATTGGCGCCAAATTTCATTCTTTTCTGTTTCTTTATTCCCATTGTTCCGGTTAAACTGAGACTATTCTATTCTAGATCCAGAATGTATAAAGAAACACGCCCATTGACTATAAGTACTTTTGTATCCCTCACACTGGAAAATTTCTTCCGATTCCTCTCTTGCACAATTTGTATCACGATGAATTGAATAAGACAAAAACATAAAATTAATAAAGTTATATAATTTTACCTGAGTTTCAACGTTAGCAACCTCTTTGAAAGCACCATGTTTCAAGATAGTCAGGAGCGAAATGGTAAGCAAAAACCACCGATTTTCGTTACAAACATGTTTGTAAATTTTTCTTGGCTTAGATCTTGAATCAATAATCCAAAAGAGGTGCTACACGACCATAAATGCCAATGATATGCAGGTAACCACATCAACACCAATAAGCCCACAAATAGCTGAGGCCCCTGCTGCATTCAATGAGGATAATTTAAAATTTTCCGCTGAATTTAAATTAATTATTTTGTTTCATTTCAGAAATGAAGGGAATGCTGGAGCAAATTTTAGACAACCAAAAGGAGCAGCAAAGATGACGACGTTGGAAGCCATTGTATGTAAAAGTATATATTATATTAGTACCGATACAGTAACTAACAAAATTAAGCATAGGGTGATTTGTTCTTGAACACTCACAATGTTTTTCATACTAAATAAATTTTTTAATTAATATGCCCTTTATTTTAATCAATAGTAGTTTCAAACTTATTTTAATATAATACTGTGGGAATTCAGCTAAAAATTCTTATCAAAAAGTTTGAAAATTTGGTGAAAATTTGCAGAATTATTCTAAACTTCGTACATAGTTTTAAACTTGGATTTTTATGGTATTTGTTAAAGTAAAGGACATATTAAATATTACATATATATATTATTACATATAAAAATTTTTAAAATTTATTTGGTACGAAAAACATTGTGGGTATTCAAAAACAAATCATTATTCATCATTATGTTCATCGCAACCAAGGAATCATCAGTGAACAAGTTGAACATTTACAACAAAATGTAAGAAATAATTCTGAAAAACAAAAATGTTCATATACAGCTACGATCAAGGATTTGGAACCAATATTCCAAATGATATTGTTTGCAACTTATGTTTATTTATTTATTTTCAATGATTTTCACTGCAAAAATAATTCAATCGACTTATAACAGAAACCCCATAAATAAAAGTTTAAAAGCTGGCACAAATTTCACAAAAATTAATCAAACTAAAATTAATCGGCTATAGATTGAATTATATTTTATATGAAAATTATTGAAAATAAATAAATATGTAAACATAAGTTGCAAACAATACCATTTGGATTTTGGTGCTAAATATTTGACTATAGTTGCAAGCAGGGTTGCCACTTTGGTAAATTGTTACCAAAATTGGTAGAAAAAATTTGGGTTGGTAAAAAGGTAAATTTTTTCTCATTTTGGTAGATTTTTGATGAACTTTCCGTTCCCGATTTATTTTTCGTAGTTATCTTTAAATATATTATAAATTTCTTTGTATACTTTTTATATAATTACATACGTATAAATGTATATCGATATAAGGCGAACATATCGCACTCCATTCAAAACTAATTTTACTGTAATCCCGAGGAGCTTTTTATTTAAATATAAACAAAAAATTTATAGGTATGTAATTACGCACTATGATTGTTCGCAAAAAAAATAAATCAACGCCATTTTTTATCAATGGAAAAAAATCAACGGGAATTTTAAGCAGCACATTGTTGGCTATACTCAAATAGTATTTGCTTTAAAACTCCATACCTTAAATGGTTCTAAAAATTCAGAGTAAAAAATTCGAAATTTAGACGAAAATTTTAGGAACTTTTCTATATGTTGTATATAGTTTGCCGCTGTGGTGTAGTGGTAAGCAGTGCGCGCTTTCACTCATCAGCTCCTGGGTTCAAGCCCTGGCCAAAGCAACATCGCAAAAAATATAGAAAAAAGGTTTTTTCTTAACAGCGGTCGTCCCTCGGCAGGCAATGGCAAACCTTCGAGTGTATTTCTGCCATGAAAAACAGCTTCTCATAAAAATACCATCGCCGTTCGGAGTCGGCGTAAAACTGTAGGTCCCTCCGCAAGTCGGAGGAGATGCTCGGCCAAACACGAACATATGTGTAAGCGCCAATCTATTTTATTATTATTGTATATAGTTTGAATCCTCGATTTTTAGGAATTTAGTTAAAGCAATAAAAAATCTTTTCTCGAAAAATATTGCGAATATTAAAAAAAATAATTTTTTCGAGTCACTGTATTTGTCTATAATAACTCGCGTTGAAGTTTTTCAAATAATGAAGTTTCATTTTTGCCTTTAGTTTCATCACTTCCGCTTTTGGTTGAAGGAAACTGAGAATATGCCAATAATATGACTCAAATACCGTATAAGTAATTAAATAAAAAGTTCTTAAAAACAATTTTAATTCTTATTGAAATAGCTAAAACAAAAACTATAGTTTTAATTAGAATAATTGAAAAATTGCAAAACTATAGTTTTTATTAAAATAATTATAAAAAAGTTATTGGTAGATATCAAGTGGATGGTAAATATTTTTTTTCGTCAGTGGCAACCCTGGTTGCATATTAATACATAACTGTATCTCCGTTTTTTAACAGTACGTCAATAAATCGGAAATGCTTGCTCAAAACACTCTGTTACGGGAATGCAAGGTCGCAATAAAGAACTTCCAGCGATGTCTGTCTGATGGCTGGAGAAGAAAAAGATGACGCGCTTGACGAAGTGGCAAGAATGCTTCCTTTGAATACCCTCGAGACTGTGTTCGAGATTGAGGAAAAACTCAAAAAAACCTCAATTCGCGCAAGCTACAGAAAAAAAGTATAACAAACTTTCTTACTTCTACGTAATACTAATATATTGTTTCTGTATGGTTATTTTACGCAGACAACTTATTGCCATAAGCTTAAGGGTACTTCGCAGGATGTGGGTGGCGTCATGCGAAGCATTCTTACGGGCAATCTCCTGGAGTCCTTTAATTGGTACGGCAGGAGATACAAACAAGCTCTGGCGAAACTTAATTTATTTGAAAAAGTGAGAGGTAAAAAAATGCCAATAACAATAAGTCGAAGTAATTTTTAAATAAATTTTCTTTTTTATTTAGGCGTTTTTCAATTGCATGGTGCCTTCTAGTACGACAAAGATGTGCGAAAGGCTGTGGAGAAGAGTCACCACCGAATGAAGCAAAAAAAAAAATATATGGAAAAAGAAAAACAAGACAGAAAGGATATAATAATAGTAATTTGTAGTGCAATTATTATACAGTCACTCAAACACGTAATCACGTGTTGATTTTTTTTAAATATTCGTAACGTTTTTCGTGCTAAATTTTTTTGTTATTTTTCCATTCAAATGCCATCCAAGCTTTAACCAAAACCATATAAATCACAGTTCCAAACTTTATACAAAATTTAGGAAAATTCAACAATTTTTCATCAAAATTTCAATTTTTAAATCTGAATCTTTAGAACATTTTTGGGTATGCAGTTTTATAGCCTATACAATTTTAGTATTGTGATGTGCATTTTTTTGAGACTGCTTTTGTGTTTTTTTTTTTTTTTGTTATATAACAAGTGCAATTTACAAACACAGGCGTTGATTTTTTGAAGTTTAGCTGCGAACGGTTATAAGAAATTCATGCTTATATGGAAAAAGTGCCGAAATCTGTGAGAAAAGAGTTCCCAAAAATCAACGGGATTTTTTAGCCGGTTGAAACATGTCCTAAAGACTCAGATTTAAAAGTTGAAATTTTAATGAAAATTTCTTCAAATTTCCTAAACTGAGCATAAAGTTTGGAACTGTGATTTATATAGTTTTGGTTAAAGCTTGGACCGTATTTTTGTGGAAAAAATAACAAAAAAAATATTTGCTCGAAAACATAACAATTACTAAATTTAAAAAATCAACACATGGTCACTTTTTTGAGTCATTGTATCTTTTTTAAAGGCACCAAAAGTATTTTTCATACGTTTCTGAAATGTTAACTTTTTCAGTATTAACTTAAGTATTTCCTTAAAGGAAAGAGATTAGAAATGCATCAAAACCATATAAATCACAGTTCCAAACTTTATGCAAAATTTAGGAAAATTCAACAATTTTTCATAAAAATTTCAATTTTTAAATCTGAATCTTTAGAACATTTTTGGATATGCAGTTTTATAACCTATACAATTTTAGTATTATGATGTGCATTTTTTTGAGACTGCTTTTGTGTTTTTTTTTTTTGTTATATAACAAGTGCAATTTACAAAAACAGGCCTTAATTTTTTGAAGTTTAGCTGCGAACGGTTATAAAAAATAACAAAAAAAATATTTGCTCGAAAACATTACTATTACTAAATTTAAAAAATCAACACATCGTCACTTTTTTGAGTCATTGTATCTTTTTTAAAGGCACCGAAAGTATTTTTCTTACGTTTCTGAAATGTTAACTTTTTCAGTATTAACTTAAGTATTTCCTTAAAGGAAAGAGATTAGAAATGCATCTTTTTAAGTAAACCATTTTTGTTTAACCTTTAACGTTAGACTACACCCCGTGTAAAAATTATAAACGCACTACATATTGGCAAGTCTAACTATTTATATTTTTGATATTTAATTATTGGTATTTATATAAAACTATATTTATTTATTTAATAAAATCCGTATGCTTTAATTAATAATTTAAGGCTTTCTAATTAGACTCCTTAGAAAGATTTTGGGTATGCAGTTTTGTAGCCGCTTCAATTAATATAATAAAATGTAAGTTTGAAGTAGTTAGGACATACCGTTCATT